TTTGTTCTTTCTTTTTTGTGTTGAATCTTTTGATACACTTAAGTGTCTTAATTTTTAGTAGGTCCTATTCATCTATTCCATCTTCTTCCATTTATGTGTTTTCAGTTAAGTTTGATGTAGTATATTTATACCATTTATCAGAGCCCTTAAGTTTGTCCCTATTTTTTTCTATGATGATCTTTATAGTTTCAAGTTTTACATTTAGGTTTTTGATCCACTTTGTGTTTGTTTTTACATATGGTATGAGATACAGGTCTTGTTTTCTTCTTCTGCAAAAGATTTCCAGTTTTGCCAGTACCATTTGTTGAAGAAACTGTCTCTTCCTCATTTAATGTGTTTTGCCCTTTGTTGAAGACCAGTTGACTGTTGTTACTGTTAGGTGCCGTTGAGTCAGTTCATACTTATAGTGACCTTATGCACAAAGAATGAAGCACTGCCCAGTCTTCCGCCAGGCTAACAATCATTGTTACTCTTGAGTCCATTGCTGCTGCCACTGTGCCAGTCCATCTTGTTGGAGATAATCCTCATTTTCCCTGACCTTCCACTTGACTAGTCATGATATCCATCTCCAGAGACTGATACTTACTATTTGTCCAAGTCTTGCCATCCTAACTTCTAAGGGGCATTCTAGCTGTACTTCTTACAACACAGATTTGTTTGTTCTTCTGGCAATCCATGGTACATTCAATATTCTTTTCCAACACTATAACTCAATTACATCAATTTTTCAATGGTCGTCTTTATTCATTTTCCAACTCTGACATGTATATGCGGCTATTAAAAATACCATGACTTGAGTCAGGCTCACCTTAGTCCTCAAACTGACATCTTTACTCTTAAACACTTTAAAGAGGTCTTCTGCAGCAGATTTGCCTAATGCAATATGTTGTTTGGTTTCTTGTCTGCTGCTTCCAAGAGTATTGATGATTGATCCAAGCAAAATTAAGTCTTTGAGAAATTCGAGCCTTTCTCCAAATTTGTTGGCATAGATCAGTGAGTGTCTTCAGTGCTACATCAGTTTTTTGAAAGATTTCAATTTGTATTCCATCAATTCCTAGAGCCCTGTTCTTTGCCAGTGCATTCAGTGTACCTTGAACTTCTTCATTCAGTACCATTGGCTCTTGATCATACATGAATTTGAAATGATTGAACATCGACCATTTCTTTTTGGTACAGTAATTCAGTGTATTCCTTCCATCTTTTTTCTGATGATTTCTGCATTATTCAATATTTTGCTCATAGTTATTTTTAGGTGCCATCGAGTTGATTCTGACTTATAGCGACCTTATGCACAATCAAATGTAACACTGCTCAGTCCTGTACCAACCTCACAATCATTATTAAGCTTGAGCAGCCATTGCTGCTGCCACTATGACAATCCATCTCATTGAGGATCTTTCTTTTGGGCTGACCTTCCACTTACCTAGCATGATATGCTTCTCTAGGGACTGGTCCCTCCTGACAATATGTCTGAAGCATGAGAGACAAAGTCTCGCCATCCTGACTTCCAGCACAAATCTGTTTGTTCTTCTAGCAGTCCATGGTACTTATAATATTCTTTTCCAACACCATAATTCAAATGCATCAGTTCTTCTGCGGTCTTCCTTATTTATTGTACTACTTTAACATACATATGAGACTATTGAAACTACCATGAATTGGGATAAGCACACTTTAGTCCTCAAACTGATGCCTTTGCTCTTACAAACACTTTACCTAGGTCTTGTATAGCAGATTTACTTAATGTAATACGTTATTTGATTTCTTGACTGTTGCTTCCACGAGTGTTGATGGTGGATCCAAGCAAAATGAAATCTTTGACAACTTAATCTTTTCTCCATTTATCATAATGTTGTTTATTGCTCCAGTGGTGAGGATTTTTGTTTTCTGTGCATTGAGGGGCAACCTACACCAAAAGCTGTGGTCTTTGAGCTTCATCAGTAAGTATTTTAAGTCCTCTTCATTTTCAGCAAGCAAGGCTGTATCATCTGCATATCACAGTTTGTTAATGAGTCTTCCTTCAATCCTGATGCCACATTCTTTTTCATATAATCCAGCTTCTTGGATTATTTGCTCAGTATTCAGACTGCCCATAGAATCCTTTAATATGGAAAGTTGAGGCTTGAATTTTTTCTTCACTTTTTTTGGCTTGAGAAATGCTGACCATGTTCTTCCCTTTGGGTTTTTTAACTTTCAATGTCTTATTGTAATACTTAATTTTGTCTTCTGGAGCTGCCCTTTGAAGCTCTCTTACCTTGTCATTTCTTCATAATTTGCTTTAGCATCTTACAAAAGCAAGTTTCAGAGTCTTTTCTGACATCCATTTTGATCTTTTCCTTCTTGTTTTCTTAATGGCCTTTTGCTTTCTTCCTGCACGGTGTTCTTCATGTCATCCTACAACTCTTCTGGTCTACAGTCATTAGTGTCTAATGCATCAGATCACCCAAGTGGGGTGTAGATCATTGTCTTTTTGGACTATGTTGTGCTAGTTGACCACGGTGTCCCTTGAGACTATGGTCCTGAGCCACTGTGCCTGGCAACTCATTGCCTAACATGTTTGATAATATCTAAAAAGTTTTCATCGTTTTACCTCCTGTGTACTCCACCAACAACAACAAAAATACTCCACCATATTTATAGCCATGTTTGCCACAATGAATATAAATAATCCTCTTTCAAACCCTTATATATTTATGGGTATACTTCCACTCTTCCTTCCATACCTGTTCAGCCTGTCTATCTGTCCATGTTGTTCCAAGGTTGTGTTGTTGTTGTTGTTGTTAAGTGCCGTCGAGTCGGTTCCGACCCATAGCGACCCTGTACAGGGTTTCCGAGGGTGTAAATCCTTACGGGAGTAGAAAGCCTCATCTTTCTCCCGCGGAGCGGCTGGTAGTTTCGAACCGCATACAACACTATTTACCTCTCTCTCCTTTAACCATTGCATACCTCTCTGTGTTTTCACCTATTTTCATCATTCTTCTGCTAATCTCCTTCTTGTATATTGTCCTCCCCATCACTCAAGTTAACATGTGTCTATCCTTTAGCCAGTGAATTATTCTCTCTTCCTTCCCACCCCGGTAACCACCGAAGAATGTTTTAGTATGAAAACCTTCGAATTTTTACAATAGTGGTCTCATACAATATTTGTCCTTTGTGATTGACTAATTGCACTCAGCATAATCCAGGTTCACTCAAGTGCATCATGTTATGAGGGGTTTTGCAGATTTCATCATTATTCTACAATGTTGCATAGTATTCCATTGTATGTATGTACTACAGTTTGTCCATTCTTCTATTGATGGGCATTTAGGCTGTATACATCTTTTTGCTATAGTGTATAGTGCTGCTATAAACATGTTGTTGTAGTGTACCATTGAGTCAGTTCCAACTCATAGCAGCCCTGTATAGGGTTTCTGAGGAACGGCTGGTGAGCTTGAACCGTCGGCCTTGAGGTTCAAACTGACTTTGTAGTCCAGCACTCCACAATGAACATGCATGTGCATATATCTACTTGTGTTATATATCAAGTAGAGGGATTGCTGGGTCATATATTGTTTCTATTTCCAACTTTTTGAGGCAGCACCATACCACTTCTACAGTAGTTGTACCATTTTACAGCCCCAGAGGGCTACTAATCTTTACACTTTCACCAGCATTTATGGTTTTCTGAACTTTACTATTAATGCTTGGGTGAGATGATATCTCATTGTTATTTTGATTTGTATCTCCTGGTGTGGCGCTGTGGGCTAATGCGTCAGACTGCAAAGTCGTTGGAACTGCAAGGTTGGTGGTTCAAGCTCACCAGCTGCTCCTTGGAAACCCTATACAGGGTCGCTATGGGTCGGAATCGACTTAATGGCACTTAACAACAGTGCTCTCTACTGTACATGAACATTTCTTCATATGTATGTTGGCTGCCTGAGTTTCTTCTTTCTGGAGTGTTTGTTCATATTCTCTGCCCGTTTTTTTTGTTGTTGTTTTTTTCCTCTGCCCATTTTTTAATTGGATTGTTTGTCTTTGTCTTGTAGAGGTATTGTAGTTTTCTATAAATTTTAGACTAGTCCCTGGTCTGATATACCATTATAAAAATTTTTCTTCTAATCTGTAGTAAAGAAGCTCTGGTAACGTAGTCGTTACAAGTCAGACTGCTAACTTCAATGTCAGCAGTTCGAAACTACCAGCCGTTCCATGGTAGAAAGATGAGGCTTTCTGCTCCCGTAAAGATTTACAGCCTGGAAACCCTATATAGGGTTGCTATGAGTCACAACCAACTCCATGGCACATAACCACCACCACCAATCTGTAGTAAGACTTACTTTTTTAAAAGTTTTTATTGTGAATTGAGTGATAGTTTACATGGGAAAACATCGGTTTTACGCTTATCGTTTCACTGCAATGATTATAATCCCCTCCGTGCATCATCATTCAAAAGTATTTGCTTCTGTTCTCTCTGGGGCTTTTTTTGAGAGGGGGGGTGGTGGGGTGGGCTATATGCGCAAAAATACTCAGGACTATATAATCATTTAAACAACCAAAGGGCTATTCTTTTAGCCTGCCTCCTGGCCGCCAGCACTCAGTCTTTTTCTTTCCACAAGTCCAGAGTCCAGCTGCTCTATCTCTCCATGTCCTCATCTCTGCCTCCATCTCTGGTGTCACTGCTTCACTGGATAAGGTATCACATAAGACTATAATTTTAAAACTTTAAACTGCATAAGAATTATTTTGATGTCTTTTCTGAAAAGGAAAGCTTGTCATGTTTTAGTTTGGAATTAACACTGACAGAACCAAAGATCAAGTTCAGAGATCTTGAGCACAAGTTAGACAATAGGCTGACTCCATGAGTCCCTGACTTACAGAATGCACAGGAGGCCTGCAGAAGGGAAATCATGCCTCTTAGTGGCGCTGTTCTACTGCTGTTCTGCAGGGAATCACTAATGGAATGGTGTTTCTAATGGAATTTTTGGTAATGTTTTTATTTGTTTCAATAATTTCAGGGCCAGGGGCAACTAAGACAGAAACAACTGTGACATCTACCACATCTGCTGTTGGACAGTTCAGCAAGCCTTTCTCATTTTCTCCATCAGGGTTAGTAATAAAGTTTTAAGTTTTGTAGAAGATTAACAGAAACCCTATGCATAATGTCCCCAAATCTTATGATCACTAGGGGTTTTGTTGTTGTTTTATTTTGTTTTCTGTTCAATCTCTTGAGCAAAACAGGTTCTTCATTACTAAGTTGTAAAAATTATCTGCCCTTTCCCCCGCTCCTCAGTTTTTGTAATTCCTATAGTTCCCATTCATTCTTGGCTGCCACAGTCAGAAAGTGGAAAGAGGGAACATTTTTCTTCTACCTATAGTGGACACTTAGAAGCAGACCTTAACTGTTCCAGGTCTGTCAAATAGAAGCATAATCAGTAGGTATATTTATATGATTATTAAATTTACATGAGACTACTTTGGTTATAGTATCTTAATACAAATGTTTTCCCCTTGAGATTTGCATTTCTTACATGTGTTACTACGTATTTGTTTGTTTTGTTTATTGGGGATATAAGATTCATTTTCTTTGGGTAATAGATCTGTATTTAAATTCATTAGTTAATCTAGTTTATAACTAAAATTTTTATTCTGACACCATTTGGGAGCTAGAGGTGGTATTGAATTGGTTTTACTGCATTGAGAATTGAACATACTATAGAGGAGATAATGAAAAACAATAGCTATTCGAACATTTAGGTTTTATTTCCAGTGAGATTTTAGTAACCTTGGTGTTCTTTGAAGGCCGGTTTCTCTGGATGCTGAAGGAGGCTCACAAACACACTGTGGAAACCTGTGAAAGCTCCCAAGGCTTATTTTCCTGACAGCAGTGGAATTAGACTGTGTAGCTGAGAGTAAAACATGTCAAAAGATTTTTAACACTAAAGAGTTGTGTGTTCAGTTCTATTAGAAAAGCTTTTAAAGCACCTTTGGTTTATGCTTTTGTAATTGGAATCATAATAGCCACAATCTTTTTTCCCTGATGTTAATCTGTTTTGAATGTTCTTCAGCATATCATATTGTGAGACACAGTGTTAGAAAGTAATTCAAAGGCAGAAATTGTGTATTCAGAGTTCTTTATTTTTGTTTTCCTTATTGTAGATCATTTTGTTTTTAATATGTGCCAGCAGTAGTTTGAAACAAATTTTAAAACAGTAGGTCAATGCCAAGAATCAAATTTGGAAAGATTTGGGTCATTCGGTCAGTGGTTTATAACATAAAATGTCTCCACCTAGGTTGAGGCCTGCTGACAAAGAATAGGGTTTTTTGTTTTTTCAAACATAATAAAATGTTCTAGATGATACTTGTCCATTTAAGAAATAAATGATGGGTAGAAAATGTAAATTCTTACTGTATTTGACTTGGTTGGTCATTTACATGTAAACATTTTATTCAATTTTAAGTTTGTTCTCCCTGTTTTTATCACAGTGAATAGTCTATTTGATGTATAGTTGTGTTAAGTTTTTAGATGTGGTGTCTTTACTCACAGTTAAAGAAAATGGACAGAAGAAAGGCAATGATGAAAGGTGTTTTTGAGCCAAATGTTTCCAACTTAGAGTTCTGTTAAAATGGCAGAGTCAAGGCTTCTTCTTTATGCTATTCATTGTCTCCTCTACTAATATGAACTTATCTGATGTGCTGTTACATCTTGGGGTGGGTTATAAGAGGCTCACCGTAATCCAGCCACGTCATGTGTTGCCAAATTTATCTTCCACTACTTCGTTGGAGAGAGAATCTGTTCTAACCACATCCAAATAATACATTTTTCATGCTTTTCTGCCCCAACTCTTTGCTATACCTTGGAAAGCCCCCATCCAAACCTCAAGATGACTGGACATATCCAAGACATTCTCAACTGTATCCACAAATGCCTCTCCTTGCTTAGCAATCTTGGAATATTTGTCACTTCTGTGATACATACTTGTACTCTGTTGCTTTTTTATATGTAAAATTATAAATTCAAACATCCACTAAAAAAATGATCAATTACTCAAGAGCAGATTGAATGAATATAGAAGAGCAGTATTATACTTTTGATGTGTTCCTTTTTAATTTCTCTTCTTTCACTCCCTAGGACTGGCTTTAATTTTGGGTTACTCACATCAACACCAGCTTCTAATTTTACTGCTACCCAAGGTACAGTTTCTGCATTGCATGACTTTATTTTTGTGTTTCTCCTGAACAAGTGAAGGCTATTTCTGTACAGATGTGCTGACATTTCACCTGCTGCTGCATTCTGGTTAAGTATGTGCAGTAAGTTTGAGTTAACATTAGAAATACGTTCATTTTAGGAAATAGATGCAAAGGATTTCTGGCTATTTTTGCAGTTAAGAACAAGGAAAGGATTTGCTCCTGGGAAATCAGAGCTGTGCATTAACATGGAGTCCTGGTGTGGTTCTGTAAGATAATCACTGGACGGCTAACCATAAAGTTGGTGGTTCAGATCTACCAGTTGCTTCTCAGAAACCCTGTGCAGGGTCACTATGAGTCAGAACCAGCTCAGTGACACTTAACAGCAAAATTGTTGTTCTTTTTAAGTGCCGTCGAGTCGGTTCCAATCCATAGCGACCCTGTATAAGGTTTCCAAGGAGCAGCTGGTATGCTTGATTTCAACACTGACCTTGCCATTCAAACCAACTTTGCAGTCCAGCGTATTAACCTGCAGTGCCACATCAGGATTCCAACAATTAACACATGAATTAAAATTTTTCTCCATCTTTTTCGTCTGCAGTGTAAAATTTCATCAGTTTATAGGGCAATTCTGTAGCACAAAACATTTCGAGGTAGTTCTCTAAAACCTAATTTGTCTTTTTCCCTTAGGAAAATGTCAGTAAAGAGTGGTTCGTGCATGCTTTTGCAAATTCACCAAATAGCATGTTTTTTTAAGTTTTAAAGAATTTGAAACTTGTAAAGAAACAAAATGTATTTTTAAATGCTTCCCCAAGTCCTACAATTTAAGTAATTAAGTTTTATTTTCTTTCATTGTAAAAATGTGTTCGTGCTGAAGAAAATATGAAGATACAAAAAACGACTCACTCACTGCCATTAAGTTAATTCCAACTCATAGTGACCCTCCAGGGCAGAGTAGAATTGCTCTTTAAGGGTGTTAAGACTGTAAATCTCTATGGAAGGAGACAGCCTTATCTTTCTCTTGTGGAGTGACTGGTGGGTTTGAACTGCTGACCTTGCAGTTAGCAGTCCAATGTTTAACCCACTGTCAAGCAGGCTCCTTAAAAATAATTTTTTAAAAAACACATAAAATAATTAAAATTCACATTGTGAATTTTAATTATTATGTGTTTATAGTTGTCATATTTCTTTTTGGCATTTTTGCCTAAAGGAGTTTTATGTGCTTGTGTTGTCATCCCACTCTGTCCCACCCCACCCCCAGTCCCACTCCCCCCATGTAACATAATTTCTTGAGAATTTTCTAATATAATTGAAAAAAAAATCTCATATAAATATCTCTCTTAATGGCTAAATAGTCGCTGTCTTATTGCATATGTTGTAATTGATTTATTTAACCATTCATCTTTTGTACTTCTAGGTTATTTCCAGGTTTCCCTTATAACAAATAGCATAAAAGCCATCTTTCATTTATTCAGCAAAATATTTTTTGAGAGTATTCCATGTGCCAAGCAAAACAGCAGAAGTTCCTTAATAAGCTTCTTAAAGAGAAAGTAAGGAACTAAAAACATTGCAGACTTCCTAAACCTGCCTCATGTGAGGTACTTAAAGCATTGATGATTTTGCTCCTTTTTATTTGGGCTGTCCATAACCTTTGCCCTCCTAGATGTGGCAGAATACCCTCATGGCTCACCTCACTGGTCTCATTTTCTAAAAGAAGAATAACTCAGTGATACAAAAAGATTGAAGAGGAACAAAATAGTAGTTGTTGCTGTTGTTAAGTGCTGTCGAGTCGATTCCGACCCATAGCAACCCTGTATAGGGTTTCCAAGGAGCAGCTGGTGAGCTTGAACCACCAACCTTGCAGTTCAAACTGACTTTGCAGTCTGGCGCATTAACCCACAGCACTACACCAGGGTTCCAAAGTAGTTGGTGTGCCGTGGAGTCGTAACTGACTCATAGCCACCCTGTACAGGGTTTCCAAGGCTGTAAATCTTTACAGGAGCAGAAAGCCTCATCTTTCTCCTGTGGAACAGCTGGTAGTTTCAAATTGCTGACCTTAAGGTTTGCAGCCCAATTTGTAACCACTGCGCTAGCAGAGCTCCTTAAAGTAGTTGTAGGAAACCATAAATAAAATGAAATAGAATATTCTGTAAATGTTTTAATATGAGAACAGTCTACAACCATACACTACTCATCACAGCACCAGTGATACAAAGTGATTTTCTCGAGATTGCACAGTGGTAGTAGAAGCTTGGCAGTGTACCCAGGAAACCAGACTTCTTGAAACAAAGTGGACTTAGAAACGTCAGTAAGCTCTTAAAATTTGCTGATTGTGGTTTATAAACAGTGAACTTTAGTCACTCTTATTTATTGAGTACTTGACCTGGCATTGTCATGAGGACATTAACTGTATTTCATTAAATCTTTATGTAGTATTTATGTACTTTTATGTACTATTATTATCTTTTATTTTCCAAATGGAGAAACTAAGTCCCAGAAATAGAGTAACTCTTCTAGGAAATGGCAAGATGCCTGGCTCCAGAGTCCATTCTTGGCCACGAGGCCATACTACCTATGTCACATTACTTGCCTGGTAGAGCACTAGTAAGCAACCCTTAATTGTATGTAAAAATGAATGGCTATGGATTGACACTTTATTTACCCTTTAAAAACAAAACAAAGGAAGAACTTCCATTTTGGATCAGTGCCTAGTCTGTCCTGAGGCCCCTGGGTAGGTAGGCCATGGGCTAGCGCTTTACTGAGGATATTGTTAAGGAAGGCACACAGAGTCAGTTTGAAATAATGGAAAGTACTTAACTTAGTTCTCTTTTGGTATAGTGTTATTTTCATATATTATAGGTCATCTCTGGTTTAATAACTGCCAAAAGAATATTGGTTCTTTTTGACCTCAGTGAGACTTTTTGACATCAGTGAGATGATTTAAACAGACCTAATGTTCCCACATGGAGTCCTGGTGTGGTATTGTGAGTTAATGCACCAGACTGCAAAGCCTTTTAAACTGCAAGATTGGCAGTTCAGGCTCACCAGAAGCTCCTCGGAAACCCTATACAGGGTCACTATGGGTCAGAACTGACTCGACGGCACTGAACAACAACAATGTTCCCACATGGAATCACTCATATAAAACTACTGTTAGAGTGAACTATCCCTGATTTTATCATAGGAAGGATAGAAACATTGGCTTAATAGTAGAGTTCGTGGAAATGTGATAGGACATATTTTGCTATATCAACCCATTTCCTAATTTTTTTTTTTCTTGCTAGGAGCAACACCCACCAATAAAGAATCAAACCAACTTGATGCATTCTCATTTGGTGGAGTGAGCAAACCTTTTTATGAGACTACTCCTGAAAGTGCTCCTCCTTCAGGAATCACGTCACCATCACACACCACTGGGACTGTCATGGCTTCTTCAGGAGAGTTTGTTGCATCTAACAGTAGACTTGTAGCCACTTCTGGAATTCCTCTTTACACAGCCGCTAGCAAGCCGGACACTCCTTCTTCAAAGTTGGGAGAGCTTCTGTTTCCAAATTATCTGGCTGGAGAGACTCTAGGAAGTTTCTCAGGACTGCGGGTTGGCCAAGCAGATGAGTCTCCAAAGTCAGCCAATAAGGCTTCAACCGCAAACATGACTAGTGCGCAGTCAACCAAGACTTCAACCGTTTCTTCAGGGTTTAGTTTTTCTGGCCCTCCGGTGCTTCCTGTGGCCTCCTCTGTAACCTCCACCATAGTAGTACCACCTGCAGCAGCCAGCACAAGCTCTAGCAGCTCCTCAGTTGGTGCTTTTGGCAGCCTGCCACTCACCAGTGCAGGATCCTCTGGGGCAGTCAATTTTGGTGGGACTTCTTTAAGTGGCAGCAAGATGAGTTTTTCATTTGGAAGTCAACCAACCAGTAGTGCAGTGACCCCATCTGTCTCACCGTCAGCTACAACTGCCACTGCCCTCCCTACATCATTCCCTGCATTGTCACTTGGTAACCTCCTGAGTTCAGCAGCTGCTCCCGCCCAACCTGTGTCCTCTGCTAAAAGTACAGAGGAGGTCACACCACCTGTTTTGCCTGAGAAGCTAGACGGCAGCGAGGCCACAGCATCAGTGTCCTCACTTCTAGGGCAGCAACAGTCAGCCCAACTTCCCCAGTCTCCGCTTGAAACTTCTGACTCTATTAAAAAAGAGCCTGCTCTTGTCCAGCCTGCTATCAGCAACTCCACCACTGCAACATCTGGTACCAATCTCATAGTACCTTCTGCAGAGGCCACTCCAGCAACCGCTGGGGTCCCTGATGTTAAGATAGAAGCAGTATCTCCAGTCTCCACTTTTTCAGTGCCTGGACAGACTGCTGTCACAGCAACTACAACCACAGGTTCAGTCCTTGTGACTGCAGAAACATCAAGTAGCCCCATACCTGTCAACACTGTTTCCAGTATTGCTCCAAGCCCAGCTACAGAGACAGCAGTGTTTGGGACTGTCACTTCTGGCTCATCTGTCTTTACTCAGCCACCTGCTGTCAGTTCTAGCTCAGCTTTCAGCCAGCTCACCAACAACACAGCCACTGCCCCCTCCTCTACCCCCATGTTTGGGCAGGTGGCAACCAGCACTACACCTAGCCTGTTTGGACAGCAGACAGGCAACGTAGCCAGCACAGCAGCCTCCACACCACCAGTCAGCAGCTCAGGGTTTGGCAGTCCAGCTTTTGGCCCTTCAGCCACAGGGGTCTTTGGACAAACAACCTTTGGGCAGGCACCTGCCTTTGGGCAGCCTACAAGCAGCTCTGCGAGCAGCTTCTCCTTCAGTCAGTCTGGGTTCAGTTCTCTGCCTACTTTTGGTCAATCCATTTCTTCCACCCCCACCTCTACCAGTGGAAATGTCTTTGGCCCCTCCTCAAGCACTAGTAGTTCCAGCTCCTTCTCATTTGGCCAGTCTTCTGCCAACACAGGAGGAGGACTATTTGGCCAAAGCAATCCTCCTGCTTTTGGCCAAAGCCCAAGTTTTGGACAGGGTGGCTCTGTGTTCGGTAGTTCTTCAACCACCACTACAACAGCATCATCTTCTGGGTTTAGCTTTTGTCAAGCTTCAGGTAAGAATTTAAGGAAGATTTTTACTATGTGTCGTTCTGTGTTATTTTAAACCTTTACTGCACAAAGCTGTATTACTTTCATCATGAAAAGGGAACACAGACAAAAAAGAATCTCTAAACTATGTAAAATAAAAAAGACACTCATTTCTTTGACCTAACTGGATGGATCTACCAGAGCTAACTGTGGCTCCTTAGTTTTGCTTCTCAGCATGTTCCCCAACTCAATCATCAAAGTGTCAATATCATTGTGGGTACTGGTTGTGGAGCATCTTTAATTTAAGGCCATAGCAAGTAGTTTAATGGCTCATGAATGTGAAATTTTTAATAGTGAAGAGTTTTAGAAGTAATTGTGGCCAAAACTCTAAAGTCTGGGGGTCACTGATTTAATGTCCTAGAGTGCCAGTGCTAAAGCCAAAACAAGAATCCAGATCCCCTTTTCTTAGTCCACTGCTCTTCTAATAAATATTCTTTTTCCTTCGGCACTTTTTTCAGAAGGACAGATACTGATATTTGTAGAGTTGGAATTTTTTCCCCATTTTTCAGTTTGATGGTATTTTTTAAATTATAAATTTTACTTTTTTAAAAAAGTAAAACTTAGTCCTTCACTATAGAGTATCCAATTTTAATAACAGCTACTTTTCTTTCTAAAAGTCATCAATAGATAAGGCATTCGGAAAATCTCTTCTCAGGTTTGCTTTCTGATGGTTATCTTAGAAAGGCAATTCTTTATTAGTCAGACTCTAGTGGGAAAACAACAATCAATGATTGCATGATGGGCTGGATTATGGTAGCTGCTCATTTATTCCTTCAATGATCATCTCTTTGAAAATAGGTCATCATTCATTAGAAAGAAAATGACTTCCTTCTTGCCATTCAGCAAATGTTATTAAGCTCCTACTAAGTTCCAAATACTGTGTTAATCTATGAGGACGCACTGGTGAAAAGACAGTTTTGAGATCTACCTGATAACCCTGTGAAGAGGCCAATCAGCCTGCCAGAATGCTGGAAGATGTAATGACTTGGCCTGGAGAATGGGCAGAGAGAAGACCTATCAGTTGTGACTCTTAAAAGAGTAGGAGCTCCAGTGCTGTCTCTAATGCATCCTCTGTTCTTCAGTCAGCACTTGAGAAATCGTCATGCACAGGCATTCTCAACACAGTGCAGAGTTACTAAAGAAATCCTCATCCATGCATAGAAAGGCACCTGACCAGTCTGTTCCAGTCCTGGTGGAGGAATTGAGACTTGCCCAAGCTCACCTGCCTAGATCAAAGACAGAATGGAATAAAACGCCTGCCTACTCACTCCTCATCTAGAACTTTTTTCTTACAGCAAATAGTTCTACCTGATTTTCCCATGTCCTCTTTATAAAGCCCACTACTTCAACCATATTAGAATGATAAACTACCCTGAAAAATCTGGTATTTGAGATTCAGAGGAAAAGAGGGAGTAAGAAGTATTTATGATATTGTATCTGTCATTGGAGAGAATTATTATTGACTTGAAGTGTGGGGAGAAGCTCTACTCAGAAATTATGAGGGGCTTCAAAATGTTCGTGGGAGAATTCTGTATTTTTTAATTCCATTTTTCCACAAACTTCTTGAAGCACCCCTCCTATATCACTTTATTAGCTTTCCCTTCTGCCCTTCCCACCCCCCACTTGTGCTTTGGTAGGATAGAAGGTTTCAGTCCTTAGGACTTTGGAATTTATATTATATAATATTAGCAATAAAAAGGTCTTTGGACTAGTTACTCAGAATTTTCTCTATTGTGGAAAAGAAAACATTTTATTCATAAGTTTATTATTGTGAGGTAGTTTAAACACAACTGAATGCCATTTAAGAAAAAAATACATGGATGTAGTAAAATACTTAACCCCATCTGTACATTTGATTTTTATTTTATAGGTTTTGGATCTAGCAATACTGGTTCTGTGTTTGGTCAAGCTGCTAGTACTGGAGGAACAGTCTTTGGCCAGGTAAATATGTGTGTCCATCTGTTTTCATATCAACATATACTAAACCCATCTACTTTTCTCCTGACATAGTCAATTCATGTTGTATTGTGATCCCAGCAAAGAATGTTTTGTGGTTCTGGGACACACGAGTCTCCGCCTCTGATGTGAGAATCATTGGAATTTGGATCCTTTTGTGGCAGTAGGCTAAGAAGACAGTTTAAAAACGCATTGTCTGATACCCATCTATATGCCTGTTCTATTAGGCATGGTTGGCAAGCTGAATCCTCCCCTTGGCCTTATTTTAGTTTTAATTGTTTCTTTTTAAGGTCCTTGAGTTAAAAGTGTTTTTATATTTTTAAATGTTTGTGTTTTTAAAAAGAAGATACAACAAAGACATATGTGACTCATAAAACCTAAAATGTTTTCTGTCTGATTCTTAACAGAAACTTTTGTAGACCCATGTGTTAATCTACATGTAGTTCAGGGACTCTTTTTGGTGAATTGAGCTGTTTAAGTTTATATTTTGTTGTTGCATTGTTGTTAAGTGGTTCAAACCGACTTTGTGGTTTGGGCCACTTAACAACAACTAGTTGCTTTATCCCACAGTGCCACACCAGGACTCCTCTAAATTTATAGAGCTAGTAGCTTTAAGTTTATATATCTAGTAGTTATCTTTGTGTAAGGCATAGTGCTCAGTGCTTTATGCTGATAAGGCTGTCCCCAGGCTACAAACGAGATCTCTTCCTGACTGTGTCTTTAAGAATTTGTAGGTGAGTCAGAACAGGTGCACATGGCTCTTATTTAGCCTTACTTTAGTGCAAGAAAAGGCTGGGAGTGTTTTTAATTTTTTAAAAGCAGCAAGTGTAGCAAATGAAGGTGATTATGATGAAGTATTTGCTGCAAGTAAAGTTGTCCAGACATTCAGAACCCAGGGACGGCTTATAACCTCCTGATCATCATAGACTCTTGGTATGGTGCTGTAGGAGAAGCACTGGACTGCTAATCAGAGGTTGGCAGTTCAAACTCACCAACTGCTCCTTGGAAGCCATATACTTGGTTGCTCTGTGTTGGAACCAACTCACTGGCACTTAACTATTATTATCCCCATTTGTCCAGAGAGACTGAAGTTACTGTTACAGCACATACCAGCTGCCATTAGAGCATAGTAACCCCGTTAGAAATTCTTTTGAAGAAAGGATATATCAGAAATGATTGTAACTTTCTGATAGTGGAACTGGTATTGGTCTAGTTGTTAAGCCCATAGAAGACATAATACATGTTTTGTACATATCTACATTTAAGAAGATGTTTCAGACATCCACTAAAATTGCTTAATGTAAAAAATTATAAAACCAATGTGGAAAATATGCAGAGTAAATCTTCTAATATCTTGCTGGTGGTAGCATAATAGTATAAAATGTAATCACTTTGGGGCACTAGTTAGCAATTTTTTATAAAGTTAAATGTATACTTAATTTTAAGGTCTAGCAAGTCCACTCCTAGGTATTTGTCCAAAAAAAGAAAACACAGAAGACATCTACAAGAATGCTCAAGCAATTTTATTATAGTTTTAAAAAAAAACTCTTAAGCAATCCAAACATTCACCAATAGGAGAATAACCAACAGTGGTGTGTTCAGATAGTGGAATACTGAACAATAAAAATAAAATAAGATAATAACTGATAACACGCAACAGTATGGGTACTCTCCAGATCATATGTTGACTCTAGCCAAGACAACTAGGTAAGAAAATGAAATAAATGATACCCACTTGGAAAGGAACAACTGAAACTATTTTTAAGTGACATGATCTTATATATAGAAAATCCTAACAGATCCACTAAAAAGTTATCACAGCTAATATGTGAGTTCAGGACTCCAAAAATACAAGATAATTAAGAAAAGCATAACATAGCCAGAGCTGAAAGGGAAATTAAAGGCATCCAAATTGGCAGAGAAGAAGTAAGATTTTATTTGCAGACGATATGATTCTATACTTAGAAAATCCCAAAGACTCAGCAGGAAGATTATGGGAACTCATCGATAAATTCAGTAAAGTGGCAAGGTACAAGATCAACATAAAAAGTTTAGTTGGATTTCATCACTCTGATACAGAGACCTCTGAAAAGGAAACCAGGAAAGTAATACTATTTGCAATAGCTATTTGCAATAGCCACCCAAGATGAAATACTTGGGAATAGATCTAACCAGAGAAACAAAAGACCTATACAAAGAAAACTATAGAACACTACTATAAGAAACCCCAAAATAACTGCATCATGCTCGTGGATAGGAAGACTTAACATTGTAAAAATGTCAACACTGCCCAATGCAATCTATAGACACAATGCAATCACAGTCCAGATTCCAACATCATTCTTTAAAGACATTGGAAAAACTTAACCACTAACTTTATAGGGAAAAGAAAGAGATCCCAGAAAAGCAAAACATTATTAAGAAAGAAAAACAAAGTTGGAGGCCTCTCACTTCCAGATCTCAAAACCTACTATACAGGCACAACAGTCAAAACTACCAGGTACTGGTAAAACCAAAGACACACAGATCAATGCAACAGAATTGAGAACCCATAATTAAATCCATCCACCTATGGTCACTTGATCTTCGACAAAGGGTCAAAAGGCATTAAATGGGAAAGTGATAATCTCTATAACAAATGGTACTGATAAAATTGGAAATCCATTTGTAGAGAAATGAAACCAGCCATATCTCACACTATATATAAAAAAGAACTCAATGTGGATTAAAGACCTAACTAAATGTAAAATCTGAACTATAAAGATTCTCAGTGAAAAAATAGGGACAAACTAAGGTTATCTGATACATAGCAAAAATACACTATCAAACATTATTGAAAACACACAAACAAGACAAAATAGATGACTGGGACTTTCTAAAATTTAGACAATGTGCATCAATGAACTTCATTAAAAGAATAAAAAGAGAACCCACAGATGGGGAAAAAACTTTTGGCAATGACATATCAGACAAAGGACTACTCTAAAATTTGTAGAATACTTCAACACCTCAACAAGAAGACAAATAAATAGTCCATTAAAAAATGGTTAGAGGTTGAATCTTGGTTTTCCTTGTATTATATTATAAAATAGACACTGGAGGGGGAGAGAAAGGAATTGCCAAAAGCACCACCGTAGAAAGCCTGTAAGTCCATCTTCTGCCTATAAATGATTGGAATACCTAAATGGGGCTACAAAGTGCCCAGTGAAGGAGGCTTCCTGTGGAGCCTCTGCAATACATAAGACTACAGGTGGAAGCCTGAACCACATCCAGATCTCCAGAGATGGGAAATTCCCACTTGAAAGGACAAGCAGACCAGCCTGGAGTGTCTAGAAGAACAGAA